CCATTCGAACTTCTTCAGTTTACCCGATTCATCCTTCTGGCCGGCTGACCTCATAATCTTGAAAAATGGCAGGCATTTATCTACTGACTTCGATATGAATCGATGAAAAGCTGCCACTCTTCCAGTCAACCTCTGTATGTCTTTCACTAACTTCGACGGTTCCATCTCGGCTACTGCTTTGATCTTCTCGGAGTTAACCTCAATCCCCCTTCTAGACACCACGAAGCTTAGAAATTTTTCGGACTCCATGCCGAAGATGCACTTTGCTAGATTCAGCCTCATTCTGTTCTTTTTGAGGTTGGTGAATGTCTCCTCGAGGTCGATTAAGTGATCTCCAACTTTCAAACTTTTCACCACGATATCATCAACATATACTTCTAGATTCCGGCCTATTTGAGCTCGGAATACGATGGTAACCATCTTCTGGTAAGTGGTACTTGCGTTCTTCAGGCCGAAAGGCATCATCACATAGCAATAAATTTCATCGTCGGCATAGAACGAGGTTTTTTCTTCATCTTCAGGAGCCATTGGAACCTGGTGGTAGCCAGAGTATGCGTCCAAGAGACTTAATCTCTTATTTCCAGAAGCTGCCTCAACCAGCTTGTCAATGTTTGGCATTGGGTAACAGTCTTTTGGGCATGCGTGGTTGAGGTTAGTGTAATCGATGCACATCCGCCATTTGCCATTTACTTTCTTCACCAACACAGGGTTGGCGACCCATTCACAGTAATCGACTCGTCTAACAAAGCCAACTTGTAAGAGTTTTTCAACTTCTTCTTTGATAACTGTTAACCTCTCCCCCCCCAAAGAGGCACCGCTTCTAGGTTACTGGTTTCTTGAGTGGATTGGTGCTAAGTTTATGTTGAGAAACCGAAGTGGGAATTCCCGGCATATCTACTGAGGTCCATGCAAAAACATCCTTATTAGCTCGGAGAAAGGCTATTAGCTCTGTTCGCTCACCGAGGCTCAGCCGAGTTCCTATCTGTGTTTTCTTGGTCGGATCTCTGTCATCAATCTGTACCTCTTCCACATCTTCGACTGGAGCAGCTCTGGTTTCATCTTTTGGTCGGTTATCTACTATTTCAACACTCATAACTTGTCGATTGTCAGGAATCTGTTTGGGATTAGCCTTGGGTGTCTAATCTTTGCCCTTCTGAGGTTGTGTGACCGAGGTGATATAGCAATGTCGGGCCACCTCCTGGTTGCCTCGCAGCGTTGCTATTCCTATAGGAGTTGGGAATTTCATGCATAGGTGAGACTGGGAAACCACAGCTCTGATTTCAGTCAGTGTGGGTCGGCCAATGACGACGTTGAAAGAGGACGCCATCTTGACTACCAGAAACCTAACTGAAGGAGTCACATAACTTCGGCCACGTCCAAATGCAACATTCATGGTGAGGATTCCTTCAACTGGGACTGGTTGGTTGTTGAATCCGTAAATGGGACCATCATACCGCTGCAACAAAGCTGGGTCTAACCCAAGACTCTCAAAACAATGGAAGTACATGATGTTTGGTGCACTCCCTGTGTCAACAAGGACACGCTGCACCTCACAATTGTTAATCATGATAGAAGTGACTAGAGGGTCATTGTGAGGTGTGACGACTATATCGAGATCAGCAGATGTGAAGGTAATGGGTTGATTCTTCCACTCAGCATCGTCAAGCTTTCGCTTCTGAGCTCAGTTCTGATGCTTAACCTCTCTGACATACAACTTTCGCTGCTTAGAGCTTAGTCCACCGACTTCCAAGCCTCCCGTGATCATGTGTATGATTCTAGCTGGTGGTGGGAGCGGAGGTGGGGTTTGCTGATATCCCACACCTTGCCGGTTTGGCGGGTTACGGAGTCCTTGAGGCTGGCCCTTGTTCTCTGACAAATCGTGGCTGTTCAGCTCTCTGAATGTACTCATTCAATAGTCCCTTTTGGGCAAGACTTTCCAGCTCGGACCTCAAGCTGTTGCATTGCTCTGTTGTATGACTGTGATCTTGATGAAAATCACAATATCTAGTATGATCTCGGCTAGCTGCAGTAGTTCTCATTGGGCTAGGACGTCTTAAATCCATCTTATTCTTGATCTGCATGAAAATTTGTGACCGTGACAAATTAAAAGGGGTCCAATTAACAGGAGGTTTACCTTCAAACTGTTGTGGGGGTGTGGAGTTCGGCCTTCCAAATCTCGGTATGGGGATCAACGTCGGACCTCGGTTCTATGCTATTCTCATCCGCTTCCTGCTTGGGTTCTCATCTCTCCAATCTGGGTTGTGGTTCTTAGAGGGTGCTGGTTTCTGCAACAAGGCATCTTCTTCAGTAGTTATGAATTTCAATGATCTATCATTTATCTCGCTGAAAGTGGTGGCAGGATGTTTGAGCAGACTATCTCTGAATCTCTCATCGCTAAGACCTGAGATCATAGCTGTACTTCCCACAGCCTGGTCGAAAGAGCTAACCTCCAGTACTGCATCATTGAATCTGCTCATAAAATTCTTCAAAGACTCTCCGTCCCTCTACCTAACTCGCATCAGCTCAAAAGTGGTTTTCCTGATCAACCGTCGACTGGAAAACTTTGTGGCAAAAGCAGATGCCATTTCTGCATAAGAGTTGATTGACCTCGGAGGTAGACTGTAGTACCAGGTTCGAGCATTACCTCGGAGAGTAGAGGGAAAGATTTTGCACATCAACGCATCAGAGGCGTTCTGGGCTTGCATACAAGAATAGAAAGCATGTAGATGATCATCGAGGTCCTTCATCTCATCATAAGTTTCAAGTTGTGGTATCCTGAAGCCAGCGAGGTAGGGTTCCAATGTAATGTTGGTGTTCAGAGGGTGGGGTATGGAGTCAGCAGCATGGTGGGGAGGTGGGGCACCTCGCTGTTCAGCCACTAGCTTTTCTAAGCTGTCTAGACGTCGAGTTGCATCATCATGAAGGGGTTGCTGAACTGGTGCGATGTGAGATTGGCCTTGGGATTCACTAATAATAGGAGCATGTTAGACTGGTTCAGGATTTTGTTGTGGAGCTGGGGGTTGTGGAGAAGGATTGAGTAGGTTGATGAATGGATCACCAAGATTGTTTCGAGCTAATAGTTAAGCCAGCACTAGCTGAAAGACACCAAACTATTGTTGCATGGCAGCGAGCTGAGCTGCAACTACGTCTTAGTTGGCAGTAAAGGCTGAATTGTGAGCCGAATTGTGTGGTTGATTTTCATCTCCTCCCTCTGCATGGTTAATGTGAGGGAATGTATTCAGGATTGAGGTGGGGGATGAGGTGGAAGGTTGCTGGGGACCTGACTTCGTCCAAGAGGCTGAGATGAGTTTCTAGCTCGAACCGACCTAGTTTTAACCATGATAAGAGGAACAAGGGAGCTTTCAATTCGGATTCCCACAAACGACACCAAATGTAATTGCGCCAAACCAGATGTCTTTCTTCAGTCCGTATCTGCAATCCAGATTGACCTGCAAAGCCCCGAGGTGGATCCTTGGGGGTAGACACTCCGATGCTTAAGTCAACAATAATCGGGGCTACCTTTAGAGCGAAGAAACGAGGGGCTTAGGGTTGGTTTCAATTACCTTTTTGACGTGGCCCTTGTGGGGTATTTATAGGTTTCAATGAAGAACCCACGTGGCATGCCAAACAAGATATTCGGGATCTGATGTGTATCTCCAAACGGTTATTTCGGGACCGGGAATTTGAGAGATACTTAGATACAAGGATGTCCATAGTAACTGCTGTGCGGCGCATCATAAAGGATCAGGTGCGGGCATGCTTACTGTTGCAGCCATGCAACTACTTGAGCAGGAATCTTTGGATTTATCCTTTACTTCAGTCATAAAGGAATTACTGTCGTTCGTCCGAGGTTGGGCACCTCGGACCTGTCCTTACAAATTCATAATGCATGCAATATAGCTTTCTTGCAACTTGAAGGTCTATGGCAAAGGAAGAGTCAGTGAAAGCCTTTGATGACAATTTGGTTCAATA